GTCTCCAATGGGCACAAGCACATGAAGTAAATTGAAAGTTTGCAAATAGAAAGTAAATGAATTGAAATTACATATTCTTTGTTGAGAGTATTTGATTTCGGGGTCCTTCCTTCTATGTCTTCTTTTCCTTTTTATACTCCTTTGCTAATTTTCTCTTGTAAAACTGCTTGGAAACTGCTTGGCGCTCTATAACTACCCACTTTTTTCGTGATGGCTGACTAAAGGATCTGCTGTTTAAGCTTGTAACCGAGATTCTTGGATCGTGAGGTGTGATAAGGTTGCTCAATAACCGCTTCAATAACTGAACAAAACGCTATATTTATCCAGACCTTGAACGTCTATAAGGTTTGGACTAGAGTGAGACTGTTGTTCTGAGTGACAATGGGGTACTTCATTCGCTCAGATCCTGGGCGTTCTGCAGGCTTGGGCGATGATAGTCCTCTGCTCGTGGATTGTCATTATATTTTACAATGGTCTTATTTGGGCCAATTCCTCAATTTCTCTAACTGGACTCCATTTCTTGGACCACATAATTGGGCTTGACTTAATCATTAGGCCTCATTTTATTGGGCCTTATTTTTATATGTCAACAGTATTATAATAACCTGTCCCAATATATGACTTTGCAATCTTATTCTTAGACGCCAAATTCTTCATATGCTCAATCATTTGTGCCTTAGTCAATCCTTCATCAAATATAGGCCTTTTCATTTTATCAATTCGAATAGATTTAGGTATTGTGGCATCAATGAGCGTATCAAGGCTTTGTACCCAACAAACTCTGCCATTTTGGCTTGCTCTTCCACTGTGGCCGAATTATGTCGGCGAGGAAATGTGTCATTGGGTTTCAGGGCCTCGACAGAAATGGGTCGAGTCCCAACATACTACGCCATACTTCTCAAAGAAACATTATAGGTCCTAAAATTATTGTTACCCTAAACAGCACTCAAGGATAATGAGGAAATGTACATGGAGGACCAGTACAATGCAGAAGATTCTAATGACTCAGAAACAAGGCGTCTCATAATTGCCCGGTTGGCCAATTTTCGTCCACGCTCCATTTCTTGAATTTATGAGAAAATATTAGATGATGTGGATTTTGTAATTGAATGAGAGTTAATTAAATCACTACTTACTAAATTTTACCCATGGTTACTACTTGCTCACTGAAATATAAACGGTTACTTGATGCTCACTAAACTATTAATTAGTTTACTCATCAATCACTAAAGCTAATTCCATCTCTACAACTGGACAAAAATCTCTACGTGGTGGACGGAAAAATTACGTGGAAATACACGATATTAGTTAACCACACGTTGGATAAACGTGTATTATTTTCCCCTTCAAAAACGTACGTGCCCTCCATTTCAATTAGAGAAGTGAAATCCCCAATTCTAACCTTAGGAAGAACACTATCTTCAATTTTCCATGGAATTCTCTTCATCCACATCTCAGAAAAGTATTGGGTTGAGAGAAGGCTACGATTTCTCTCCAAAGGTTGTCTATGTCAGCAGAAACGTTCCACTCAATTGTTGCCCATGGTGGAGTTAGTTAGGCCTCTGATTGAGCTCCGTTAGACTAACACATCTTTTTGCAAGATGTTGCAGCTTACAATCTTCGGATATGTGTCAGAAGGCAGAATAAAAATCCTCTATCTTATTTAGACGGTCCACTGCCTTAAGAATCTGCTGTTGGGGCATTGAGAAACATGGTTGGAGTGATTTCAGTTGATGTTTTGGTTTCATTAGGCCTTCTTCCAAGGCTGGTGCATGTACTTAAATAAGGTTATCTTGGCGCACAAAAGGTAGCAAATTCAACAATCTGCCTAATCTGCTAAAAAGATTAGTGGGTGAATCTGATGTATTCCTCTTCTCATAAAGATGCTGGAGGCTAAATCTATCAATGCGAGAGAGATTGCATCAAAAGGAATTTCAAGTTTGATGACCCTTTCCCATAATTGTAGATAAGGTAAAAGAGATGACAAAAGCTTATTAAATTTGGTTGTCTTGCTCGATCCAAGTCTTCAGAACAATTAGTTGCGATATCATTCATTTCATTCAATCATCGTCTATTGAAATTACATTACCAAGTCATATAAATAGAGAAATCAACAAACAAAGAAATTCAAGATCAAACACCAACTATTACCTACCAGCTACACCTTTAAAACTAAGGCCAACATAACTGCCCATCCTAAGGCCTCCAAAAAAAAAGATATGTAATATAATTCATGACAATGGTGGTCAAGTATACATGGATGGAACAAACATGAACGCTCAGGTTGATAACTGACTCACATTCTTCTACTTCATGTTGTCCCATTCTAGTTATCAAACAGTCCTCTTATGTCATAATTATGTCTAGAAAATATATCGACATATTCTTGAACCTTTGATACTTCATGCGTGAGCAAAATTACCATTGCTATTTTTCCTTATTCAGATAGATTAAGAATTGATATGGGAGAAATGTACCTGGTTATTTACCTTTATTGGCTATTTATGGCTTTCGTTGTAGATGTTGCTCAGAATAATTTGTATTTATTATTGATTTATTTTTGTCATGTTCGCCAAGTACCTTCTTCGTGCTGATTTAGACCATTTCTTTACTTTATTTTTTCCCCACTTTTCATTATATATACCTTCTCTTTACTCGTTGATTCAAATGCAACTTTGTCCTTTTTCCCCTATTTCTCCATTTTATGTTGATACTTCTTTTGCTTTTCCTTCAACGTTGCACCCTGAAATCTGAATCTAATTACTTTGTTAATCAATTTTTTTATGCATACAGGTTGGTTTGACAAGCCCAAACTTTATTGGTATTATTGGTGCTGATGTTTGCCATCTCAATCTCCACAAAATATTTTGTATTTCTCATGGTGGAGGGGGACCTTGCATGGAGCCTATTGGTGTGAAAAAAACATCGGGCACCATTTCTACCATCGCATCCTGTAGTATGTAAAGAAAAATTCAATCAATTTGTTTTGTGGATGTAACTATTCTGTAATGGCAAGGTTCAAAGTGTCTTTTTCACTTTTTATGGTTTATATTTTGACTTCTGTGTTGTTCCAAATATCAACATGAGGCATTCCAGCCCCTGACAAGTCTCAGCCCCTAGGTAATATTTCTACCGCACATGGGGCTCTGCACTCATTTTGCCAATATCATACACCTACATTGTCATGATAGGGTCAAAGGGATTTACAGATGCTTCAAAGATAGCTATCTTGAATGCAAACTACATGGCAAAGCATTGGAGTTCTCTTTTTCCTCCCTGTCATTTCACTACATTTCATGTTTTGCCTTCTATTTAACCATAAGAAAGAACAAAATTGAGAGATCCTATGCACAGTCATGGCCTTCAATCATTGTCTAAGAAGAATAATTCATGTGTCCTTAACATTATTAAATGTACCCTTTTGCCATAGATGATATGACCTTGATACCTGATTTTCTTTTATTGAAATTACGAAATTTGAGCATGAACACTCATTCTTCAGAGAATATTTGGTACCGTATTGGAAATCATCATTTCCCATGTTAATATTTTATGCTTTGGATTGACAGAAGCACTACCATGTCCTTTTCCATGGTGTCAATGGTACGGTTGCTCATGAGTTCATCGTCGACTTAAGGGGCTTTAAGGTAATTTTGGTTGAATGTAATGTGCGGGCAGCTTCCTTCCGATTTCCATAGTCTCTTTTTCTTATTGCAAGTGACATTTACTGTAGAATACTGTTGGAATTGAGCCTGAAGATGTTGCTAAACGTCTCATGGACTATGGATTCCGTGGACCAACAATGTCATGGCCAGTTCCAGGTACACTTATGATTGAACCAACTGAAAGTGAAAGCAAGGTGAAACAAGCAAAAACTATAGTCTTGTATTATGTGGACACGCACAAGCACTAAGTATGATTTTCTCCACCATGTGCATTTTTGGTAGACACGACTCGAATGTATAATGCTAGGATTTAACATATTTTTCTTCCTTGATACTGTGAAATAAACGCTGACTCATTTTGTTCGCAAGTCGAGTTAGATAAATTCTGTGATGCTCTTAGTTCAATTAGAGAAGAAATTGCACAAATCAAGAAAGGAAATGTTGATGTTCATAACAACGTTCTCAAGTTAACAACACATTTCTTTGGATGGACCTTTGCTGCTATTGTATCACCTCTGGTATCTTTTTCTCCTAACATATTTTGGAGAACTAATTGAGGTTACGAATCCAGGGAGAATCGCAACCACTATCGCTACTCATGGCTGATGCATGGACTAAGTTGCATTCTCGGGAATATGCTACCTTCCTTGCTCCTTGGCTCAGGTTTAATGCCAAGTTCTGGAACTACAGGTGTGCTTAATAAACAATGATATGTGCCATCGGCATTCCTTTCTATAACAAATTATTCATTGGTAACGTGTTGACAATGTGTACAATGACGGGAACCTCATACACACCCGCCTTCCGGTATCCCAAATGGCTGAAGAACCAGCTACAGCAACTACTTATGATTCAGCACCGAACCCATGTGCAAGGTTTCTTCTTACTCATTATCATTTTGTGTTTACCCACGGTAGCTTTCCAGCAATTGATAGGATCTAACAAGGAAGCTTTACATTCACCAAACGAGATTTAATATGATACAATTGAAGTAATAGATCACCAAACACTGTAAGTTATTTCCTTATATTGTTCCAAGATCCGGGCTCAGTTAATTTCCAATCGAACACCACAATCAACCAATGGAACCACAAACCAACACTTCCCAAACACAAATGGTTGCTCCAATGATTTCAGCCCACAAAGGACTAGGGATGAAAGATTACAGCTTTATAAAACAGCCACAAAGGCTAGGCAGAGAAGATGAAGAAACGGGTCTCTCGAAGGGAAGAGCACACAACCAATTTTGCACCAATCAAGACAAGAACTGTTTTTTTCTCTCTACTCAAAAAGGGGGGCAACTACTTAATAATCTTTCACCCAAACAATAGTAATAGTCAACCAAATAAATAGGTTAGCAATATGTTTAGGCTTTAGGTCAAACAACAGGGCCCAATAACAAAAAATGACAAGTAGGCTAACCCCTTAAAGCCATCCAAGTATTTGGGTTAGGCCATGAGCAACTCTAATTAATTAGACTGCTTCAAATGGCCCAAGTGGATTACGTAATTCGATTGGTTCGATTGTGGTGTCGACATTTCACTTCACTCATTGGCTTAGGCCTATGAAGTATAATTCAACTAAAAAAACCGAATAACATCGTAGCCCGAGATTTATTGGGTATCAAAACCCAACACAAAGACAAGATTTAAAGTAAAGAAAACACGAGATAATTAATGGAAGAAGAAGATAATTTTATTTCAACTAATGGAGAGCATAAGTTATAAAATGTGTATAATACTTCAAGAAATATGAAGGGAGGGACTACATATTTATAGGTGCATACCAAACTATAAAGATGGAAATAATATAAAAATAATGTGGAATAATGGAAATAATATTTTTTCAATAAAATCACGTGAAAAAAAAAGAAAACAATATCACTTGAAAATAAGGAAACAATATTTCACAGTATTTTTCCCAATAAAATAATGTGCAAAGAAGGTGAAAAATATTCTCAAAATATTCTACATAATTTGGGTTATCAAACCCAATAATCTCCATCTTGACACAAATTTCTGTGTATCGAACTAAGCAACAAATTTCTCCGCCTGGAAAAATAAATTCGACTGCATCGAAATGACAAAACCCTTCAATCAAAAACTTCAAATCTCTCCAATACAAAAAACAATCTTCCTCTCCAAGTATCCAGCATGATACATGAACCACACCTGATTCCCAAAAATTCCACCATGGAAACAATCAATCAAATAGTATCCACAAATGATACTCGAACTCACATGACGAGTTCCCAAAATTCCTCAATGGAATTCACAATCAACCAAACAGGGTAGAAGCACACCCTGTAGTAGAATCATCACNAGCAGAATGATCACCAAGTGCTTGAACTGAAGATTGCGTGCTAGACACATCATCTTCAAAAACCACAAAAATATACACACCTACATTTGGACTGTACCTCTCCTCAATGAGTCCTTCCCTAGCAATAGAACACGATGGAACCGCTGAAACTAGTGACAAAGTGGGATTACCCATGTCAACCAAACTCTCATGTGTAGGGTTCACCAAATTCAACTCAGAGCCAAAACCCAGCTGTACTGTACCAAACTGAATATCCACCACTGTACGAAACATGTCTAAATGTCTTCTAACTGGTTCTGTACGCCATTGCAAGATGTAAAATTGAGACTTTTTTCATCCCTCAAGTACCACCAGAGCACCACTACGACCCTTCAAGACTCCACCTCCACCGGAGAACGTGTACCCCTTTGAATCTAGGGTGCTCAATCAAATGAGGTTCTTACCTAAGTTTGGAACATGTCGAACTTGGCCAAATGTTCTAACCGTCCCATCCAATAACCTTAATCTGATTTTCCCAACTCCAGCTATCCTGCAAGATTGGTTGTTTCCCATGACAACTCCACCTTGCATCACCGCCTCATATGCTTCAAATAAGTCTCGATTGGGAAACATATGATACAAACAAGCTGAATCCAAAATACATTCATCCTCAGGCTTGGATACAGTATCACATACGGTCAACACCACAACTTCATCATTCTCAAAGTCTTCCTCAATATTAGTCTCATCTGTATGATTAGATTGTCTACCATGAGTTGCAGGCAAATTACCTTTGTTCTGTGCCTGCAACTTGTTACAATCCTTCAAAATGTGCCATTTCCTCTTGCAATAGAAACAAACTACATTGCTAAATTTCACCCTCGACTTACCTCTCCGCCAATCACCATGAGTCACAAGAGTTTGCCCATCCCTTGATGTAGCTCCAATAAGATGGTTCATCTTCTCCTTAGAGAATAACGCATCATACACATCCTCAGCAGTGAGTGTATCACGACTATATAAAATCGTGTCCCGAAATGACGAATATGAAGAAGGTAAAGAGCATAATAATATTAAGGCAAGATCCTCTTCATCATATTTTACCTCTAACGTCTTCAAATCAGCGGCGATCTCCTTAAACACGGCCAAATGAGCTTCCACTGAATCTCCATCTGCCATGCGATGAGAATAGAGCCTCTACTTCAAATGCAATTCACCGGTCAGACTTTTAGTCATACAGAGTTGCTCCAACTTCAACCACAACGCAGCCGTTGTCTTCTCCTTCATTACGTCTTGAAGAATGTTGTTAGATAGATGAAGGTGAATATGAGACAAAGCCTTTCGATCCTTCCTTTGCTTCTCCTCTATTGTCCAAGTTGCAGGCATCTTCTCAAATCCTAACAACACATCATCCAGATCCATCTGCGCCAACACAGCTCTCATCTTTACTTGCCACAACGAAAATCTTGTACTGCGATCCAAAAGCGGAATATCAAACTTCATTGAAGCCATTACACAAAAAAAAAAAAAAATCTCAAAAGCAAAACTTCACAAAGTCTGAGCTTTGATACCACTTGTTAAGATCTAACAAGGAAACTCTGCATTCACAAAACGAGATTTAATATGGTACAATTGAAGTAATAGATCACCAAACACAAGACAAGATTTAAAGTAAAGAAAATACAAGAGAGAATTAATGGAAGAATGTGATGCTTTTATTTCAACTAATGGAGAGCATAAATTATACAATGTGTATAATGTTTCAAGAAATATAAAGGGATGAGCTACATATTTATAGGTGCATACCAAACCATAAAGATGGAAATAATGCAAAAATAATGTGGAATAGTGGAAATAATATTTTTCCAATAAAATCATGTGAAATAAAAGAAAACAATATCATGTGAAAATAAAGAAACAATATTTCACATTATTTTTCCCAATAAAACAATGTGCAAAGAAGGGGAAAAATATTCCACATAATTTGGATCACCAAACCTAACAGTAATGACCTTTGATTTCACATGTTTCAGCCTGAGGCTAGCTCAGAACATGAAGGGACTTGGGTAGGAGACAAAGTACTCTCGACGATTCATCTTGTTGTCTAGTTGTACATAAAACATCTGTGTTCATGTACTTGTTTATAGCAGTCGACGTTCATCTTCTTACTAAGTTGATGATATGCTGCTGTTAGCTATTTTTCCATCATGGAAAAAATTATTATTTCTCATGTTTTATATTTCTAATCACAGCAATTTTAGCTTACTACAGTTATTATTAAAGATAATATTCCATCAATGAGCTTTAAGAAAAAAATTGCTCGAAATATTTTCGACAATGAACATTTGCTATATTAATTTCATGTAGTATCATTCATGCTAATTAACTGGACAAGCCATAAGTCAATCCATCTCGACATAAATCATTAATTTCGCACAATTAAATAAGCATTAATTATTAAGTCTACACTAAAAGTGTGCTTGATTGATTTTATTATTCATGGAAATTGTCATTTTCTCATTTAAATTCCTACTTTTGTGTCTAATTGACAATTTTTTCTATGAAAAATATTTTTTAACTTTTGGGTATATGACCATATTTTTCTCAAAAACAAGAAAAATATTTTCTTTAGGGAGGATGATTTTATTTTCTATGTAATTCACTCTTTTTTCTCTCTATCTATCCCCATTTCTCATCTATACACCAATAAAAAAATGGATACGTATAATATTGTCTAGATTGAAAATAAAATAAACCAAACACATTTGATTAATAATTTTCATACAAATAAGTTCTAGGCAATTAAATTCCACAGAATTTATTTCATTTCCACGCAAATTTCATACTTGCAATCAAATGCACTTTAAGAGGAAAGAAAAAAAAAATGGTAAGAAGCGAAACAATTTCATATTAGGTCCCTATCTGGTTCAACTTAAAAGTAGATTAAATATTTAAATTAAATTTAACAATTAAGTTTAACCACACATTTCATGGGACCTACAACTTTCAACCAGAAATTTCATTAATTTCTATCAAAATTTACTAAAAAATGATTTTTTTTTCTAGTTTGAGCCATCGTACAATCCCTAATGTTAAGGATCTTCTCAAATATTTTTAATAAAGAACTAACTTTCAACTAGCCAAAAAGATCAATTAGTGATTAAATTGTTATAAATTTTAAAAACCGAGGACTAAATTGTCAAAATCAAAGTTTTAAAATTCATTTGATTAAATGAATGCTCATTAAACTTTGTCCTGTATCCGCTAAAATGCTTTGAGGTTGAACTTAGACAAAAGTTGCATTGCCTTTCCCATTCTTTTCTTGGCTCGTCTTCATCTCTTCAATATGCTTCATAGTTGCCTTGTGCAAAATCCCTTGAGCTATTGACTTGTACCGTG